GAATATCATATACCCAGTTATAAATTATTATTGTATCCTTGAATTCCTAGAGGAAGATAGGGCTTCAGCTGCATATCTCCATTGCCTTCTGTTTTCGGCCAACTTTATTCAATCAGCTCTAAGTCTGCCCACATGCTTTCATCTCCTCCTCACATGATCTCCTCCACGTCACCTTTGCACTGACGACCAACTAGCCGCTACCCTTTCGGGTTCCACTCGAGTGATGGCTTGTCTAGTGATGTCACTTGATGGTTTCCTCAGAGTACGGCCAGCCAATCCATCTCTATTTCTTCCTGCCTATTTGTTTCACAATCGGTTCCTACTAGGCTGGTTCGCTCCCATAGATCACCTACTGTTGCTGATCTTTTCTGGCTGGCCATCTGATCTTGAGTATTGATCGAAGGCAGCTGTTAATGAAGGTCTGAAGTTTGTTTGAGATGCTCTTTATGACTCGCCAAGTCTCTGGTCTGTATAGTAAGTAGCACTGACTGACTTCACATTGGAGTTGAAAATCCGGATGTTATTTTTAATACTGAGTGCTGTTGACCTCCACACAGATTTGAGAGTAATGAAAGCTTGTCTTGCTTTTCCGATTCTGGCATTGATATCCTCGTCAGTTCCGCTTGCAGTTGATTGATGCTTCCCAGGTCGGTAGGTAAAGGAGGTTGTTTCTTTCAGGTTCCTTCCATTTATGCTGGCTGATGGTTGTCTGCTGTTGTTGTGGTTGTCGCTGTTTTGTTGGCCAGGAATCGGCATCACCTCTGTTTTATCTATGTTCACTTGAAGTCCTATCTTCTCTGGATGCTTCTTCTGCCAACTTGTTGCTTTTCACTTGCATATCTTCCACTTTGTGGGAAATCAGACATAAGTGTGTCATCGGCGAAGTCCAGATCCTCCAAGATTTTCGTGTGAGTCCATTTTTTCCTGTTTCCTCTCTGTCCGGTTCGCTGTCTGTCGCATTATCCAGTCTAGTGCAATCAGTAAAATCATTGGCGATAGTAGACAGCCTTGCCTCACTTCCGTCCTCACCTCGAAGGCCTCCGTAAGTTTCCCGTTGTGGATTACTTGGCATGCAGCATTGTCGTATAACTGTTGGATGAGATGTATAATTGTCGATGGCACCCCACAGTAGTAGCGAAGTAGTTGCCAAAGCGCCTCCCGATCGACGCTGTCTGCTGAAGGCCTTTTCAAAGTCGATGAAGTTAAGATAGAGAGGTTACTGCCATTCCAAGCTTTGTTCAATGATGATCCGCAGTGTGTCTTTTTGGTCGTGCATGACTTGTTTCTCCTGAATCTAGCCGGTTCAAGTCGAAGTTTTTCATCCAGTTTGGCGTGTTTGATTTTCTCCAGGATGATGCGGCTCAGTATTTTGCTTGGGATGGACAGGAGCATAATTCCGCGCCAGTTTTTGCATTGACTTAAGTCTCCTTTCTTTGGTAGTTTGAATAAGTATGCATTCTTCCAATCCTCGAGTACTTTACCCTCTTTTCACACCTTCATTAGAAATGGCGTCATCAAGTCCGCTGTTGTCTCTGGGTCCGTTTTCAATGCTTCTGCTGGGATCCCGTCTGGCCCTGCTGCTTTTCCAGCTTTTAGCATCTTGATTGCATTCAGGACTTCTGATTTCCTCGATGGTTCGATGTTCACTGGTAGTTCTCCTTCGTTGTTGGTAATGTTGGGCGCGTTGTAGGTGGTGGTCGATTAAGAAGTCATTTGAAGTGTTCAGCCCAGTGTTTCCTTTGCTCCATCTTTTTGGTGATTGACTTTCCATTGTCATCCTTCACTGGCTTAATTTGTGTCGAACTTTCCCCGAAAGGTGCCTAGTTGTTTGGTAGAGTGTGGCGAGGTCTCCTTTGCCTGCACTGCAGCTTGTTCTACTTCACTTTGCATGGCTTCATAATATTTTCTTTTGTCTTCCCTGGCACTCTTCTTTACTCTTTTGTTTAGTGTATTGTAATTTGCATTCAAATCCTGTTTCTGTTGCTTGTCGATGCACTGGATAATCTTTTGTTTCAGCATCCTTCTCTCTTCTATTAGTCTCCACTTGTCCGTAGTGAGCCACTGTTTGTCCTGTCTCTTCTTTCTGCCTAGAACGTCCATGCAGGTTTGACTACACACCGTTTTCAAGTTGTTCCAGAGCTTTTCGACGCCGACCTCTTCGCTAGTGTTGATTTGTGTCTCGGCTTTGTCCTTTATGCTTGCAATGAAGATGTCTTTTGTATCTTGCTTCTTCAGCTTTTGAGTGTTGAACTTGGCTTGTGGTCTATCTGCAGCTCCTGTTTCCCTGAAAGCTTTTAATTTGATTTGGATTGTCCCTTGTACGAGATAGTGGTCTGAGCCAACTTCTGCTCCTCTTCTTACTTTTGTGTCCAGTAACCTGCATCTCCACTTCCTTGAGCGACATTGAGATGAAGTCAATTTGATTTTTGGTTCGCCCGTCTGGTGAAACACATGTAGCCTTGTGGATATCTTTGTGTTTGTATACGATACCACCAATTACTAGTTTATAGAGAGGGCAGAAGTCAACGAAGAGTTCTCCATTTTTATTCATTTCTCCGAGAGCTTCTCTACCCATGATGAGTTCCCTTCCTGTGTTGTCTGGTCCCAGTTTGACGCTGATGTCTCCCATTAGTATTTTAATGCTACCAACTGAAGTGTTGTCCATTGTTGCCTGTAGTTGTCTGTAGAATTCTTCTTTCATTTCGATATCTGCGTTGTTTGTGGGTGCATAACATTGTATAATTGACACTTCCTTTCCTTTGGAGGCGATCATTATCCTGGACGAGATCGCCTCCCATTGCATGAGGGCCTTTTTTGCCGTTGGTGACATCATGATAACCACGTCCTCGGTGTGCGTGTAGTTATCTTCTGGGTGACCAGAGTAGATCATCGACTCTACCGTTGACAATTTGGTGAGTTCATCTCCGTTCTATCTGACTTCACATATTCCCAGTACTTGGATTCCGTATCTTTTCATCTCGTTTGCGATGTGTGCGGCTTTGCCAATCTCGTACATGGTGCGAACGTTCTTTTTCCTCACTCAGACCTTTTCTTTTGGCGTAAAGAGATTCATCGTGCTGAAGTTTCTGTGGTGACATATACCCAATGCCCAAATTTTTTCAAACCGTTAAAAGTGAAATTGGTTTTGACATGTATAACGTCCATTGAAAATTCTCATATGAACATTAATAGACAGAAGACCAGTAGTTCAGCCAAGTCTCTTTTAGGCGAATTCATTTTCTTAGCTGTGCAATCGCAAATAAATATGGTTGTTTTGTGTGTGTGTACATTAAATTTGTCAAACGAAATGTAAGTTCAGATGAATTGGATGTTGATATAAGAGGATAGTAACAATAGTGATGAGTTGTCACAAACGATTGTTGAACAAGAGTTGCGTAATAACATGAATAGTTTGGTGAAGGAGTTGTGCTCAGGGTGTACATGGAAACAAAATAACATACGGAATTATGCAAGAGATTTAAGAGTTTAGAAAAATAAGCACACAAACAAAAGCTAAGTCAAATCAACGGAGTTGTTACCATGATAGTAGAAGCGGTTGAATAATTTACTTTTGTATGCATAGTTCTGGTTCTTTCAACTAAATGCCTAGGGTTTCTGCAATGCGAAGAAGACAAAAGCGTGTTGTATTTGGCAGGTTGTTCTTCACTTTGTAGATTACTTTGAAGGAGGCGTTTGTTGCGATGGAATGACCAGTGTTGACGAGATTATTGCACTCCTTATACGGTACTGCTTCCTTTCTGCAGCCACGCTGGATAGAGTTCTTTGATCCTTTTTGACAGCACGCGCGTTGAACGACCAATTTACCTAGCTCTACAGCAACAGGTGAACTGATATGTACACACAGAAATGATCAGGTGCGGGATCTTGTCCTTAAGGCTTCTGCAGATTAGTGGGCGACTGGAGAACACTACTCTCAATGTTGCCTCAAAGAAAGTTCTTCTTAAAGAAGGAAAAATTATCCTGAGTAGGTCAACTTTGAAGTCGAGGTTCACATAAAGTATGTTTTTTGGCATGGATGGCATCTCTTGCTTCTGGATTTTCTGTTTGATGTTTTTGTCTACGAATCTTGATGTATAACCGTTTTGTATGAAGATTTCTTTCAGGAAGTATGGTTCTTCTTTCAGCGTATCAGAGCTGCAGATGCGTCGGACGCGACTTGCAAGAGGTTTTATTAGGTTTCTCTTTCGATTGATCGGTACCCAGCTGTAGAAGCTTGTCTGTTGTCCGTTCCACGTGAGTTTCCTATGGATGGACCTTCTTAAAGTTCCGTCAGCTCTCCTTGTAAGTTCAACATCGAGAAAAGGGATTTTCGATTCTTTTTCACTTTCAAGAGTGATCTTTGCAGCTGAATGACATTTGTTGAATATTCGCAGTAACTGACTGAGATCGTGATCGTCATCACAAATAATAAATTTGTCATCGACATGTCTATTATACAACTGGAAATTGTCAGTAGTTGATTTGAGTGGAACGTTCTCGGAGTTAGCCATGAAGCAGTTTTCTAGTAATTGGCCTAATGGAGATCCTATTGAAATCCCATCCTGTTGTCTGTAAAAAAAATCGTTGAATGTGAATTGTAGATTAAGTGTACATCTCAGTAGTAGTTCTTATAAACAAGTCGTCAGTAATCCTATGTTCAGTTGGTTTTCGTCTATCCATTGACAAACGTGACAGACAGTTTCTGTGAGCGGAACGTTAGTTAATAGTGACTCATTGTCGACAGAGAGCATAATTTTGTTCTTTACATTGATATATATATAATATATACATACAATATATGTTTAATGTACATTATATAAAGCATCTACGTAGTCGTACAACTCATAAAATATGAAAAGTTACTAACTGACTTTAGTGTGCAGAGTATTCACCACTGCTTTGCAAGTTCAAGAAAGCGGAAGTGATCGGAACTTATCAGTCTACTCGAAGTATACTGTGGATATTTAGAAAATTAAATAGACTTTTCTAGATAAGTCGAGATGATCTTTTTACAAAAGACAAAACTTCACTATAAACAGAGTTAGTATCCAAAATAATCACATTCTTTTGAAAACATTCTCTCAACGGAATGCATTTTTTATGATGAATGGGTTTCTTGCAGTGTCAACTAATTGTTTTGTTTTCATTAATTATGAAGGTAGCATTTTTGCATTATAATTTATGAGTTTATGACAGACAAAACAATTTGTCACAGTGACAGACAGTTTTTGGTGCCGAAAAAGCATTAAGACTGCATTCCAACCAACCTTAGAAATGATAGTTATAATTCAGTCAACAAAAGAGACGAATTCATACTACTGTATGATGTTCTTGGGAAAATTCCAAAACAATCAGATCTTTAGTTAGAAAAAATGAATTGCATCTTAGTTGATGTCACGCCACAGACATGTCGTATGGAATCTATTCAAAAGTATATAAATACAAGTATTCATGTATTAAGACAGTTGAGTGTTGTCACAATCTATAAGACGATGCGTGTGTTGTGCCTGCTTTTAGCTTTGCAAACCTTGGCCTTTCTTTTCGTCGAAAGTAACAGTGAGTGTACATTTTTCACAGTATAATCATAAGGCGAATACTCGATGTTTTATACTGTTCATACCTTGTTTTCATTGTCTATGAAATGCGATTATTTTCGGCTTTTAATCGGAGATGATTCTAATTCGTTTATATGTATTTGAATGTTTTAACATATTTGTATTGATTTCCGAGGTTTCGAGGCTGCATTTATTCCAATTTAACGCATTTTCGCGTTGATATTTGCCTAGAGATACATTGGAAATTTTATTTTACCTAATTTCTTTGTGGTCTCACTTATATTCATATGTTTACTTCATGTGTTAAATGTTTTTAACTCATATAAATTGTTTGTTTCTTCGCCTGATTATAGCTTTCTTCTGACAAAATCACATATTTGCATCACGATGCCCTTCATAAAATAATTCGAATGGTGAAATACGTTTTGCGAATTCGACTTCATGACAGCTATCCGATTTTAGTTGTTTTTTCATTCGTTTGCGCTCCCAGCTTCAAGCTAGAATCTTGAAGCTTCGGTAGCAGAGGTGTTTATTTTTATGGAATGACGTTGCTAGCCTCATACCCAGCCTTCGCTCTTTACCAGTCCTACTACAGCCTAAGCGAGGTGAAGGAGTGCGTCGGTCGGCTATCAAACCCCCAATCACATGAGTGTTTGACGAGCATTCCACCTCTGTGCCACTGATGCACAGAGTATTATCATGATTTGAATTGTGCGTTTTGATGGTTTGTTTCCCTCGTTTTTACGTGTTCAGTTTATATCCATCTGACTTAGAAATATCTTTCCTGACTGAAATTCATTTGAAATTCATTTTATGCTTACCGAAAATGTACTAACTTCTTATAGCTCTTATTATTGACAAATACCAATTGTTGGATTCTAGACGAAGTTAAATATTTATATATTATAAGAAGGCTCACTGTTATTGCTCAGTTTCTCTAATAGTAGAAATTTACAGCTGGGATAAGATGGTGTACGACATTTGATATTTCTTGATAAGATGAGTGCTGGGGTATCATGGAGATGACTGATGAAACAAACGCGAGCAAATAACAAATCTCAGATTAATTCAAGTTATTTCATACTGTTCTGCTTTCAGCGAATGTATTTTTTGACACTGAGTCCAGCAGTTAGATTTCACTTTCAATGCATCATGATGCTTTCTTTTTCCCAATATTATTTTAACGATAAAGTGCAAATAAATTTAGTATAAAATGGTTTGTACTTTGTTGTTCATAAACAGCCACAACTTCGAAGTTGTGGCATTTTATTTTTTGTCAATAGTGTTACTTTTAATTGGGTCACTGTCGCCGGTAACAGTTTACTTTCAATATCAATGATTATATGTTTTTTCTGTGACTTATTTCGGTTTCTTAAATATATCGGATTGTTTCATTTAGGGAATTCTTTTCTTAAGTGTTACATTTGTACACTTCTTCGTTGGAATTCTGCCTTTTTTTTAGTATGATTCGTGTTTTGCTGATTTAATCGTGACCTGCAACATTCGCCCTACTTGTCTCAGGGAATTATTGGTTATAACTTGACGACTGATTTCATTTCTGTTGTGTCACATATTACGGCTTTGAACGGAAGATTTTTCACTGATTAGTAGTCGTTATATGGTTTTGATCATGCGCTTTCCCTGTTCCTACCTGTTCAATAAACATATATCTTAGTTGGAAATAGCTTGTGTGACTGAAATTTTTGCGAATATAATTGTATGTTTTTGAGCGTATTTTCATCTTTTTGTCGCTAATATTCTTCATTTAAGTCGTTCATTCAGATTCTGGAGAGTGGTGAACATTTGTTGAGAGTAATAATGTTTGCTGTGATTATTCTCTTGGATGAACTGAAGTGAAGATTTGCCTCTGAGAATGAGAAGGGCAATCGTGTTGTGTGCTGCTGTATTTTTATTTGACCTTCATTGTTTCTGTATGTACTGGACCTGGAAACCTGCTGTCTCACAGATAATGATTCGAGGAGTATTGAGAAAATACATGATCATATTCTTTGAGAATATTGCGTATAACTTTATCTTTCTTTATTTCAGCCTTCCTATCCAAACCTTTGCCTAATTAACAGGAGTAGACATTATTATATTACAAATAACAGTAGTTGGTCTCCAATACCGTCATCAATATAAGTGAGCATAGCTCACTCTATATGAGATACGGTGCTAGCGGCATCTAATATTTATCAATAATTATTGGGTTTTTGACTTTCGCCGCAAATCTCTGCATCAGGATAACTAAAAAATTGGATGTTGTATGAAGCTTCATATGTCGCAGTGATTTGAAAATTCCAGAAATTAACTGCTCACACTGTCATCTTTTCATTGATTTCCAGATAGCCTACAAGGTAATTGAATAAATTATCTTTTTTAAATTATTTTTTTTATTTCAAGTGTCTTCTTAATAGTGCATTAGTTTTCATGTGGTCCATGCAACTTGCTTCATAGTTTAATATACAGCGTATTGAATAGCTTTCAGCATAAAAGTAACTCTCATTTCTCTGTGATTTTATTTTCACTTATGTATATTCACATATCACTTTCTAAAGACAAGTCTCACTCACACAAATACATCATAATTCATACCACCTGTTTAGTTGCTTGCGAAGGTTGATGCTTGAACACAGTGGTTGTTTTTTATGCGACCAGGTTTATATATTGGACTAAATCCATATTAATTTCATATTGGTAGATCACCGATAAAGTGAGATATCTCTAGATAGTGATATGAAAAGGCAGTAATCACTATGAAGGGTAAAGGAAGACCTACGATATTAGTATTTCCAATACTGAGACAGTTGTAAACAAATAATCTCGGCTGTCGAAATTGAAAGTTTTGTCGACTCGAATTACAAAGGATTTGTTAGTTTAAAGCACTGGAATGTATTTTCGAGTTCTCTGCTTGCTTTTTGATGGAAAATCAATTTAGGATAGATTTTATGTTATGGAGATTGCGTCGGTGGCACAGTGGCTAGGTTTCTCGCCTACCGTGCACATGGTCCGGGGTTCGATCCCGCACCGACGCACATCTGATAACTATGGTCGGCCTGCAAATTTGGGCTGCCGATTTCCATGCTGAAAATTCCATACTTGTACTGAAAATACAGTGTGGAATCAAGCTGTAAATCAAAAATAAAAAAAATAAACACACTCTGAAATTAGGGTATCACGCGTTAACAGCCAAAATTACTTGATTTTTTAACACTTCTCAGCGGAAATGATGTAAAACTGACGGTGAAAAATCGCCTAATTTTTGTTGTACAGAAAAAGTTAATGATTTAGGTAAGTTTTTTCAAAACCTGATGAAATTCCAAAATTTCCTTTCCGTTTGTCTCAGTTGTGAGATCACTTGTAAAATCCCTTTGAATGAAAACAGCCTCTTCACAGTTATACCATAATTTTTGTTCATGCAGTAGAAGTAAATAAGTGAATAAATGTACCGATTGTTAATTAGTGAAATTATGTTTGTATTATTATTATTATTGTATCCTTTAGTTCCTAGAGGAACATAGGGCTTCAGCTGCGCACCTCCATTGCCTTCGGTTTTCTGACAACTTTTTCACCCTGTTCCAGGTCTGTCCACATGCTTTCATCTCCTCCTCGCATGATCTCCTCCAAGTCACTCTTGGACGACCAATTCGCCGCCTCCCTTTCGGGTTCCACTCGGGTAATGGCTTGTCTAGTGATGTCACTTGATGGTTTCCTCAGCGTATGGCCAATCCATCTCCATTTCTTTCTGCCTATTATGTTTGTATAGTCCCATTAAAATGTGTATTATTTTCACTCGGTATAAAGTGATTTTTGATAATGCTGAAACAAATAAACAGGTGTGCTTTGTATCGATGATACAAAGCAATACATGGTACAACCCATCCCATAAAAATTCACTATGAGTCACAGACACGATACAAAAACGCAAACTTTGTCATTAAACATTTCGAATAGTTAATGACAATTTTGTTAAGTGAGGTTAACCTACCGTCCAGACAATTTAAAGTGGAGCTAGATAAGGGTGTCAAAAACACTTGACACTTTTGTTGCTATTGTAAAAGTTTTTTGTCTCAAATTTCTCTGTAATAATATTAAATATTTGAGACATGTAACTTAGCATTATTCAGTTTGGCGGTTTGCACCACTTCATTGTTTGCATTTGTTTTACATTTTAACAAAGCACACACTTACAATTTAATAGTTTGTGAAGTTTTTAAAGAGATGGAATAATACACGCAATATTGTACGTTTTCCATAAAATAACAAATGAGCTACCACTTGATGTTCATGCTTATAATGAAAACTTTAAGGCATTTACTTGAATAATATATTTTGAAAGTTGTTAACTATGCCTAATCCTGCCATCTGTCCTTCAAATGTAATTACTATTCTACAAAGCAAATTACCTCGCTTCGTTCAGCAAATGACTGAAGGAATAGTATGGTAAACAGACGTAAAGATAAGGCATAAGTTAGATTTTGTCAAACAAAATCAGTGGGAAATGAATGTCTGTTAACATTACTCTATGAATAGAAGAAAATAAATTTCTGAATTTACCTTTGATTGGACGACTAAACGAATAATCGAAGTGAACAGTGGTTTGTGTCATTAACTATAGTTCTTCACGTCACACAGGTGCTCAGGTACACGAACGTGGAGTATGCAGGCCTCAAATGAGCAAAATAATGATAATGATGCAAGTTTGAGTAAATTGTTCCTCTTGAAACTGGTCAGCTGAGTGTCCTAGAAACCCGACTATTTATTTGGGCCTATTGTAACAACAGAAGACAAGGGCCAGTCAACAGATTGTTTATTGAGAAGATCAAGAGATATTTATAGATTTTTATGTACATTATTATTCGTTATTATTAGCAGAGGAGTAACTTCTTCTGATTGATTGTTTTCCTGCTTAAGGTTACTCTGTCATCTCGTTTTTGCTGTTTCTTAGACAGTCCGGTGATATATCTACGAATTGTGTCCACTCACACTAAGTCTGCTGTGAGTGGCTGTTGAATTCCTCAAGGTTTGGCTTTGTTCTTGTTTTTATCTCATGACCACAATTTGGGACGTAAACATCGAAGTAAATTGCTGTCTATCAATTTTGGCTAGACACCTCTCACTGCACCCTTACTTATTGTACTATTATGTGTATTTTCTTTCAAATTTCCTCGTCAAAATTCTTATCGCAGTTAGCATAAACAGTCTGAAACATTCGTCTGACTTAGATCCTCTGTTTCAAAATTAAAACACTTCTGGCATGTTGTAACATAAGTGTATTTCTAGGTATCCGATTTTTTAATCATAAAAATGAATAGAGACATATAAGAGGCCTACATGCATCCTTATGAAACATCACCAACGAATAATGGATGATTTCACAGTGTCTCCGTTGTGTAATCTAATTATAAATCACAAATCTAATGGTTCTCTAACGAGTGCCAACTCATGATGAAATCCTGAAATCATAAATCAGTTTTTCCTTCACTAATATAGAAACGAAACTTGAAGAGATGAGTAAGTTCCATTTCCTTTCTTATCATAATCTTTGCGAATTGATCAGTGAAATAAATATGTTTGCAGTAATCATTATATCTTATTCATTCACTGTTAACACTGTATATGAAAAGTAAAGTTCCACTCAGTTGGACTATATGCAAACAACGGGATCTCAGGCGATTTGTACAACAGCATTTCTCCAAAACACTAATTGCTTTGTTATCGTAAGGCAAAATTACTCGAGCAAAGTGTGTAATGCGATATAATTTCTTAGGATGTTCTGTATTTACTTCTTAAAAGAATCGTTTCTTTTTATTTGTAGAAGAAAAACTTCGAAAACTCGGTGAGTTTTGATATCGTTGTCACAATTATCGTGAAAAAAAGATTGGTAGAATAAATTTCTTTCATCCAGCTGACGCACCTTATCCATTTATTTCCTGAACTTTGTATCTAAATCACAGTCGGCTCACTCAGAATGTATTTAAGCAACGCAATCCCAATGAATCTCACCAAATTGTCAACGGTAGAGTCGATGATCTACTCTGGTCACCCAGAAGATAACTACACGCACACCGAGACGCGGCCATCATGATGACACCAGCGGCAAAAAAGGCCCTCATGCAATGAGAGGAGATCTCGTCCAGGATAATGATCGCCTCCAAAGGAAAGGAAGTGTCAATTATACAATGTTATGCACCCACAAACAACGCAGATATCGAAAGGAAAGAAGAATTCTACAGACAACTACAGGCAACAATGGACAACACTTCAGTTGGTAGCATTAAAATACTAATGGGAGACATCAGCGTCAAACTGGGACCAGACAACACAGGAAGGGAACTCATCATGGGTAGAGAAGCTCTCGGAGAAATGAATAAAAATGGAGAACTCTTCGTTGACTTCTGCCCTCTCTATAAACTAGTAATTGGTGGTATCGTATACAAACACAAAGATATCCACAAGGCTACATGTGTTTCACCAGACGGGCGAACCAAAAATCAAATTGACTTCATCTCAATGTCGCTCAAGGAAGTGGAGATGCAGGTTACTGGACACAAAAGTAAGAAGAGGAGCAGAAGTTGGCTCAGACCACTATCTCGTACAAGGGACAATCCAAATCAAATTAAAAGCTTTCAGGGAAACAGGAGCTGCAGATAGACCACAAGCCAAGTTCAACACTCAAAAGCTGAAGAAGCAAGATACAAAAGACATCTTCATTGCAAGCATAAAGGACAAAGCCGAGACACAAATCAACACTAGCGAAGAGGTCGGCGTCGAAAAGCTCTGGAACGACTTGAAAACGGTGTGTAGTCAAACCTGCATGGACGTTCTAGGCAGAAAGAAGAGACAGGACAAACAGTGGCTCACTACGGACAAGTGGAGACTAATAGAAGAGAGAAGGATGCTGAAACTAAAGATTATCCAGTGCATCGACAAGCAACAGAAACAGGATTTGAATGCAAATTACAATACACTAAACAAAAGAGTAAAGAAGAGTGCCAGGGAAGACAAAAGAAAATATTATGAAGCCATGCAAAGTGAAGTAGAACAAGCTGCAGGCAAAGGAGACCTCGCCACACTCTACCAAACAACTAGGCACCTTTCGGGGAAAGGTTCGACACAAATTAAGCCAGTGAAGGATGACAATGGAAAGTCAATCACCAAAAAGATGGAGCAAAGGAAACACTGGGCTGAACACTTCAAATGACTTCTTAATCGACCACCACCTACAACGCGCCCAACATTACCAACAACGAAGGAGAACTACCAGTGAACATCGAACCATCGAGGAAATCAGAAGTCCTGAATGCAATCAAGATGCTAAAAGCTGGAAAAGCAGCAGGGCCAGACGGGATCCCAGCAGAAGCATTGAAAACGGACCAGAGACAACAGCGGACTTGATGACGCCATTTCTAATGAAGGTGTGAAAAGAGGGTAAAGTACTCGAGGATTGGAAGAATGCATACTTATTCAAACTACCAAAGAAAGGAGACTTAAGTCAATGCAAAAACTGGCGCGGAATTATGCTCCTGTCCATCCCAAGCAAAATACTGAGCCGCATCATCCTGGAGAAAATCAAACACGCCAAACTGGATGAAAAACTTCGACTTGAACCGGCTAGATTCAGGAGAAACAAGTCATGCACGACCAAAAAGACACACTGCGGATCATCATTGAACAAAGCTTGGAATGGCAGTAACCTCTCTATCTTAACTTCATCGACTTTGAAAAGGCCTTCAGCAGACAGCGTCGATCGGGAGGCGCTTTGGCAACTACTTCGCTACTACTGTGGGGTGCCATCGACAATTATACATCTCATCCAACAGTTATACGACAATGCTGCATGCCAAGTAATCCACAACGGGAAACTTACGGAGGCCTTCGAGGTGAGGACGGAAGTGAGGCAAGGCTGTCTACTATCGCCAATGATTTTACTGATTGCACTAGACTGGATAATGCGACAGACAGCGAACCGGACAGAGAGGAAACAGGAAAAAATGGACTCACACGAAAATCTTGGAGGATCTGGACTTCGCCGATGACACACTTATGTCTGATTTCCCACAAAGTGGAAGATATGCAAGTGAAAAGCAACAAGCTGGCAGAAGAAGCATCCAGAGAAGATAGGACTTCAAGTGAACATAGATAAAACAGAGGTGATGAAGTTTCCTGGCCAGCAGCACCAGAATCTATAGCAAGCAACAATCAGCGTAAATGGCATAAATCTGAAAGGAGGAACTTCTTTCGCCTATGTACCCGTCTGGGAAGCATTGTTTCAGCCACAAGTGGACGAAACTGACGATGATATTAAAGCAAGCATCAGGAACGCATGGCAAGCTTTCATTTCTTTCAAGTCTGTTTTCAGGTGAACTGCTCATAGCATGGAAAACATGATTCAGATTTTCAGCTCCATTGTGAAGTCAGTGCTACTCACTATACGGATCAGAGACCTGGCACCGCATCACGAAGGGCCCTTCGAACAAACTACAGACCCCTATCAACAGCTGTCTTCGAGCAATACCATTGAAGTTCAGACGACTGGCCAGTGAAAATGAACAACAGGGATTTTCGGAGATATTTAAATGTCACTAAAAGTTGCCGAGATTTACGAGTGAAAGATAAATGTATACACAATGAGGCATTGTCGCTCTCTATATATACTGATTTCAGAACATCGAAAACTCAGCGTATATCTTTATAAAGATCCAGTAATTACTATGAGATAATGCGTTTATAACTGGTTTTGCAATTCTATTTTCATTTATATACTTTTTATTTCATCTACAGAAGGAACTGCGCAACCACTGGGTCAGTTTTTAAATATTGTTTTTACAATGTTCATGAATGTGTGGTTAGTAAAATATACGTTCATTATCAAAACATTATGTTTTATTTTTTGCCCATGCAATTTCAAAAACTCAGACAACTAAACTGTGTATACAAACGATGAAATCTAAGTTATTTTCTTCAGAAGAATTTTTATTTATTATGTTTTTTGTCACTAAGTGTAACATACTTGCACTTGGACCTAAAAATTCAGACAGAATATTAGTGTCAGATATACTACAGAGACACGCATTTTATAATATTTCAGAAGCAATATATTTATACGTTTATCAATGCTGAAAGTATCTAACGTAAAACTATTCTTTGTCAGCACAACAAAATGACGAAAAGTAATCACCAAATGTTTTGAAAAACCCAAATTAATAAAAACCTCGTCTGTGTAAAACTACTTACCACTCGAATGTGTAATGATTAAGCACCACTTCTGATAGCATATAGTGAAGTTTGTGAAGTGGATGCAGTGGTCTTTTGCGCATAACGTTTTTACAGTATTTTGGAATATTTTAGTTATATTTTGTTTGCTCACTTACAATTCTGTTTATTAGACCGTTTGTCGAAAATAATTAATGTATCGTTCAGTATTATGATGATAGCCTACCTAGTTTTCTACAGAGCATAAAACGTCAAATTTTTTTCTCGGTTATGCTCTGTTTTAACCACCTATACACATTCTTGAAGAGCGATATGCACTCAAATGCATTCTTGATTGGCTTTCAGTGAACCGCTTGGTCTTTGTTTTTAACAGACAAATACATCGGGGATCGAAGAGTCTTGCAGGGGAAAAATGTCTATCCAATCATGGGCTGTAGATTTCTGTTTACCTTGAAGATTATTTATGACGAGTAAATAAATCCTAGATGAAAATTCTGTACTGTATGTAAACACGTTCAGAACACAGTTATTATTTTTTGTATTTATCCTTTAGGCATGTACTGAGTTCATTTAAGCCGTGCTTTATATCTGTGATTTCATCGGTATTTCTGTTTGCTGTTGCTATATAAATGTAGTGCTGGCTACTTAGAACTTAGACTGATATCCGTTTTTCATATGACACACTAAACCACCGTGTTCAAATGTTATTGTTGTATTGACATGTATATATTCAGGAGTATTTGGGTCTAGCAAATAAAATTTCAAAGTCGTATTAGGTTGTCTCATCTATCAAAGATTCATTCAAATAACAGTAAATGTATTTTCCAGTGCATTCAAATAGTAATATTAAGGCGGTGCAAAATAACATGAAACTCAATAGTACAGTCCTGTGAAAGTTAGTTTTAATACTCACTGGAGTAATTGTATAGTTTACTGTTCGAATACAAGTTAAACCATTCTTATAAAACTCGTAGTTGATCGTCATAAAGAATTTGAATACGCTAGTTCTCCCTTTACGTTTGTTCAGAATAAGCTTAATTTGTGGTTTTTTCCTTCAGTATAATAAAGCAAACGTTTCTTCACTTCGAAAGAATGGTTATGGAACAAAGAATATTCTTTTCGACAACTTCATTATCAGGTTCTAAAGTTACATATACATAATAGGGAATGAATTATTATAACCACTGACACTGATGTTTAAATAACTTAAATTAATATTAATAAAACCAATGGATTACATTTCAAAAGCATCGGCATAACAATATACTGAATATCAGAAAGATTAGGAAAGATAATAATACTAATTCATGAATTTATAGTCTCCATTGAATGCTGGCCAGGGCAGTAGAAATGTCTAGGTTTGCTTCTTCTGCACACAGAGTAGCGGTTGTTTCATGATAATCGCAACAGCCTTTGCTATTTGGAGTGTACCCGGATGCTTTCGGCAATTTAATTGATAATTTGCAATTGATAGTGTTCTCTGAGCTGGTTGGCTCAGTTGCGGAGCTTTCGTCATCCTTCTGGACAGCATCTTCAGCGCAGTATTTAGCATAAAGTGAAATGATTTAAATTTCTTTATGAGTGATATAATTGTGTGTCCCGGTAACCATCTTTACATATGTATTGACCATTTTCTATTGACTTGGATTTTAAGCTTTCTGGTCACCTGATTTACTTTTTATTAGTTGGTATATTTCGTCTATATAAACGTGTTTGTTGATCGCATATTCGTTTGAGTGCCAGGCTTCTAGGAATTCCTTGGCACCTTTGGTGTTTCCTCTGTCTAAGATTTTGACATTATCTCAATCAAATTGATGTCCATAATTGTCTATGTGCGTTGATACTAAAGAATATATATCGTGTCTTTTATATCCAGTAAATGATAGAGAAGGACTTTTCAATATCAGCTTTATGGCTGCTTTAAACTGGGTGTTCTAATATCGAGCTATTGAAGCTTCTGACTACACTTTTACTTAGCCATATAGTCAGATGTTGCTGAGCACGAAAAATCAAGTTCCTGGAGCAAAAGCCAACACAAATCGATCCACATGCGCAGTTGAACTGTTAGATACAGTTAGAAGTGGCTAGTCCAGGTACTTCATCTTTCAGTTGAACAATCCTCACAGTTCGTGTAGAAAATGGGACTTGTAATTTATCAGCATTAAAAGTTGAAGACTCATCCACAAAAATCAGTATTATTTTTTAAAACAGTAAATTTTATCCTAACACTTTCATACTTGCGATTCGTTAAAAATAATAGAGGAGAAATTGGAAGAATTAGGTATGTATTTTTCCTGTATATTTTTGATATATCAGTACTTACACATTGCATGAATGCTTTTTGTCTCGTAGGCAGTATTATTAGTGACTATTTTTAGTATGATATTTTCACTGTGGTAAAGAGTTCATACAATACTGATACATATCGCACATGAAGAATTATTCATGAATTTAAAAATATTCGTACAAACGTTATGTGGTGTGAATTCATCCTATATCTTTTAATGATAAGTCGACATCGTCTATGTTTTCACAGGGAAATATTCTGGCTCAGTTCACTATGAGTGTTAAGACACACAAAATTATTAATCAGTATACAATTACATTTCACTGTATTGATTTGAGCCTGAAAGCCGGGAATGTTGGTCAAGAGTATTGCAACACAGATTTCTGCCACAATAAAAGTTTTCTCTATACTCCGCCTAGAAAAATAATTTAATTTATGTATCCTCCTCAGTATTAGCAAGAAACCTTGAACTCAATATGGGTTCAGTCGATTCCTTCAATTTTACTGTCCTGCACTGTTTCGAGAATTTTGTTCAACAACACTAATAGGACACAGTTGAATAAAAATAAACTGCTGCTACAATTATGCAGTTGCCACAAAATTATCCATTAGTGAGACGTCATTTTGTGGATTTGGTTTCAGAGCTTTATGTCATATATTAACAACTGTTATGCAATACCACTCATTATCTTAATAATGATTTTGAAATTGTCTGTTGGAAGTCAGGTCATTAAATGATGAAGGAAAGAGAATGTTTCCCAGCAAAATGATCAAAACAGAGATAAGTACTTCCGTATTAGATAGGTTTATTTAATATAACACACAGTAATACATTCTAAACAGCCAGTTATCCACTCTGTACTGCTGTGTATTATACCGAGTAAACTCATGTAATGCGCAATTACATTCAACCGTAGTGCTCAGATTGTACTCTTACAGTGAAAAGCAAAATGCAAAACTGTGTCACGGATCCAATTGTGTATGGGATAATCATGTTTTGATGTAGTTCAGCAGAATTATTTTGGTGTTTTTATTACAGATGTAGTGGGAAGATATTTTAAGACTTAAAGCTTTCTGACTGTAGGGAAAAATACGTATGCCACCTAATCATGCACATTCGCCCGTATTGCATATTTTCCTTCAATGGTGAGCTTTTAATCATGTTGTTATTTGATGACATGAAGTGTTAACAATTTGCAGTCGTATGCCACTCCAATAACACATATCTGACCTATTAATCTATTTAGAGAGTCAAAGTACGAGAAATGGTAAGTGAATACCCCACCGAATATCACTTTTTGTTTGGTGACTATTTTTGAGTGACAAATTTTCACTGTGTGTTTACAGACATTGATGAAAAATACTAGATTATTTTATCTAGAAGCTAGATTAAAACTTTCTTTTACAGTGCACGTGATTACGCCCTATTTTTTTTTATTAAGTTGTAAGCTTTGAATAACCTTTAGTTATCTGAGAATATACGCATCTGTTGATATTTTTTCGTAGTATGAGATGAGAGGTGGCCATTGGATTGCATTGAACTATTACTATGTCATTAAGGGAGAAAATCAAAGTACTTAGTAGAAAAGATTTATCACCAGATTTTACTTAGTGAATTAAAAATAATTTCGAGGTCGAAATGAATATAAGACATTTACTGCCAAACATATTTAAACAGTAAAAATGTGAATTCTAACAAAATCACTAATAAAAACCTTTCAAGTTCTATGCATTACTATCTGATTCCTACTGGACCAAACAAATGCCATCGGTTATTCTTTTGTAGGAGAAATAGCTGTTGGAAACGGTGAGCTCCATCTTCATATTTTCGACTTTCTTCACTAACAAGACGATTAAAGCCATTAATTTCATTTTAGTAAATTTGTAATGAAACATCATTTTTAAGTCACTTTACTGATATTGTGCCTTTCGTTAGTTGTAGTTGAAAAAATTTGGGTGATTGTCAGGCGCAATCTAACTCAGAATGTATTTTGTTAATGAAAGTAATCAATGAGTCTGTCCCATACTGTGAGCTAGTCCGTTCCTATGGGAATTCGGAAAATGTGATAGTCATTCCTTTCGTACCTCTTATTGTATAAGAAGTCAATAAATCAGATGGCAATAGCTTTTCTAGGAATGCTACAGTCCTGTGAATCCGCGTATGATCATACAGCTCTGCTGGCCTTATCAACTGCTTTGCTATATAAAATCAGATAAGGAGGTAAGCGGGTTCTTTCTCTCTTTTGAAAAAAATTATGAGTTGAATAAGTCTAAGTTTCACAAATATTAGGCGAAAAGCTTGCTGATTAAAAAGTCGCTAAGGTACATGTTCCCGAAATTAAAAATTAGTTTATAAAACAAGTGAGAACAGGAAGTGTTCAGCATCCAGCTTTTTTCAAATACATTAATGCGTAAATTATGTGTCTGTTATAAAGGTTTGAGGACAAGCCTCCATATATTTCGTTATGCAGTTTCTGCAAATGTAATGTTCATTATAAAATGTACTACACGCTAGAAATCTATTTAAAATCTCATGCTTCGCTTAAGCTATCTGATCTTACCAGATAATTGTGTTAAAATTTTAGTTCACTTTAAGATAGCGTCCCATATTTTGTCACCACTCTTCAAAACATTTTTCGTGCATCTTCTTACCATTGTCTTATCTCTAAATGCCTGCGTACCACCTATCGATTTGATTATTTTTTGCTTAGTATGAGGTGATTGTTGCCAGGCTACACTTCGAAAGATTTCCAACAGATTTTTGAGCAAATCCTGAAACACAAATAAAGTAAAATAATCCGAACCGAAGTTACTTGGAGTGTTTTTGTATTGTGTGATACAATAGAATATAGCTATTAAAGTTAAAATGTAGACTAGATATTGGTATAGCAAATGATCATATTCTTGCAGAATTCGAAGATATCCCTCATTTGGTCACGTTATCAAATTAATTTAATGGAGTTTAACTAAAAGGTTTTGAGTTCAGTGAGTACTGCAGAGTAGTACCACGCCAAGACGAAACGATTGTACAGTATACCGGATTTATTGATGATTCTTATATAAATGTCAGAATGATAGGGAATCTACATTAAGGTCACGTAATTGATTCCTTCATGATATTCACTTTAAATAAGTGCATCTAACCATACACTAAAAGTTATTTGGGCAATATATAGTCTTATCAGTTAGTTTGTGAGTCGGTGATTCATTGGTAATACGCTAACCAACCCCAGACGCGGGTCGGAATTCGATCCCTGGCTGACGCACTCCTATACTTCGGTAAACCAGTAATAAGACTGGTATATACGGAAGCTCGGACGTGAAGCCTGCAACCTTACTCCGTAAAAATGAAACCACTGCCACCGAAACTTCGAATATCCCGCTTGAAGCGCTTTGTTCTAATAAAATAAAATAAACAAATAAATAAATAATAATCAGTTACATAATTAGAACATTGATTCGTAGCAAGTCAGATGACACTGTTTTGTATGTTGTACTGAATGAGGAGACTTTGGGAAATAATTCGAGTCGGCATATTGTCATCGGAATAGAAAACAGTTTTGAGTTTCCTATAAATATAAGTGAAAGTTTCAAGTTTAGGAATGTGATGGCCACATCTGTTGCATGACCTTAGTTAACACATTTCCAGCAGTAATAACTTGTGAAGCAATATAAAATGAATGAAGTAAATTAGTGATGAAATTCTGTAACCAATGAAATCATATTCCTGAAAATTAAAATTTAAATATCAATCTGATGCCAACTAAGGACTGGCCTTATTCAGTTGAGTAGTTACATGGGTTCTAGAGAGAAGTCATGACCAGCAGAGGACAAATACTCGCCAAAGACGTCGGCTAGTGGTTGCACCAAATGATCAATTAGCAGAAGTTGGAATTTATGGTCTGGCCATTGGATTGGGTCCCAGTGGCTTAATGGTCTATGAGTTCACCTTGTAACCAGAAGGTCCTGAGTTCGAACCGTGGCTGTTGGAGTGTACTGCTAAAGAGTACCAAGATAGATAAGATAATAATAGCTTTATTCCAAAACAGTACTTGTGATACAGAATGAAATTCTCAGCATTTTTCTACAATACTGCATCCAGTCAGTACATTAACAATAAATAAAGTTCCACATAGATTAAGGTTATCTCAGTTAGTTTTGACAACAACATATTAGCATGACGGTAGCAAAGCCGAAATTAAACAGAGTGTTAGGAGGTGTTGGAAAAGTAGGTTCTAGCATATTTACTGGCGTTAGCAGAAGAAAGAAACAAAGAAGTACATAAAAGAGAAAAAAGAGAGTGAAAAGGAAAAGAAAGAAAGAAAACGTCGCACCTGTAAAGATACGAATTGGAAAGACGAGATCCAGTTTTTCCACTGACTATTTAATAAGTTATAAGTGTCGCGAGCGCAGAACACGAGCTAAGTAGGGTACCAAACTAGGACGAAACAGCTGTCCAGAACTCCCAGTAGTTCTTCCGGTAGTTCTCTAACCGTTGTCAGCTCATGATAAAATCCTGTAATGAAGCAATATGCAAGCCTGTATATGATACTTCACGGATTGCAGATAAATCAGTCAAGAAAAATTACGACTTCCAGTAGATTCACACTGAGATTTCTCAATTGAAACACCAATGAATCTGAAGATCAGTGAAGTGAAATATAAAAACTGTTTCTGTAGTCTTAGCGTTTCAGATTTTTATAAGAATATAAGGACATCAGTAAATCATGTCAGATTATTCAGGCATGAATTAAACGCCAACAACTTATGCATATAAAATGATTTTTATTAATAACTGCAATCGATATGCACATAAAATATTACAGAGGACAAAATAGAAGTTTTGGGTAAGTAACTATTGCAGGTTAGTTTCCTACTTTTTCATGTGGTGCACCATTACTTCACATTTCACTGAGGTTAAGCATAACCCATCGCACAAGCATCTACACATTCACTTGGACTGGTGCATTTTCGTGCATAACATACATCTTATATTCTTATGCCAAATGAACATTTATAAAGTTGTTTTGCGGCCTGCAACAACTTCCTGTAATGTTGTAATACTGTTTAGGGGTTCCTAGATTAAGGACAAAGGTGCTGAAACTTAACATAAGGGTCTTGGCTTGTGAGAAAGAGTGAGTGAAAAGGTGACATTGATGCATTATTTATCCACATTTACTAGATGTTTACACTTACTCACACAATAGGACAACTGACTGCTTTTAAAAATAAAAAATCGTCATTATCATCTCAGATCCGGATTTTCAACTCCAATGTGAAGTTAGTGCTACTATACGGATCAGAGACTTGGCAGGTCACTAAGGACAATTTTGACCAACTATAGACCTTCATCAACAGCTGTCTTCTCTGAATACTCAAGATTAGATGGCTGGCCAGAAAAGATCAGCAACAGGGATCTCTGGGAGCGAACCAACCAGGAACCGATTGTGAAACAAACAGGCAGGAAGAAATGGAGATTGATTGGCCATACTCTGAGGAAACCGTCAAGTGACATCGCTTGACAAGCCATTGCTCGATTGGAACCCGATAGGGAAGCGGCGAGTTGTTTGTTAGTGTTTGGGTGACTTGGGGAAGTGATGTGAAGAGGAGATGAAAGCATGTGGGCAGACTTAGAGCTGGGTGAAAAATTTGACCGAAAACAGAAGGCAATGGAGACGCGCAGCTGAAGCCTTATGTTCCTATAGGAATTAAAGGATATAATAATAATAATATCCCAAGGGAATTAATTCCAAACAATTAAAATTTGTTCTTGAATGATGGATGGATAACCAGTAAATATAAATAAAATGTTAAACTATCAAAAGAAGCTGTTGAAGTGTTGTGTTTAATATGTTTTGGAAAATAACCGAAATGATATTTTGCCATGAGAATATGAGTAACATTACATAGATTTTTGAAAATGATTTCTTTGACTGCATGATGATATCTACACCCAAATGTGTGAAAGTTCAAACATGTGATGATTGGACGTTTAAAAGTGAGAAATGACCACAAATTATTTTTTATTTAACTGTCAGCTAAATGATGAGTATATTATTGCAAATTACAGAGAGACAAGTGAAGGAATTAAGTAAGTGATTTGTTTCACTTAATTCACCATATACTTCCTTTGATAATTAATCAGTTTGTTAATAATCAGCAACGACGTATCATAGCGGTCAGTTCAAGACTTTATTTGTGCTACTTTCCTTTTATTTTTCTAGCATATTTTGGCTTCTCAACCTTTTGTATCACCATCAAGGTTTTTCTATTTGTTCATATACACACACTCAATTTTAAAGACTAACAATTCATATAACTGTTTATTAAAACAAAAGTCTGATGTGGAACTTCTTCTAAGGGTGACTTCAGTGAATGTTGTTTATTGGTTGATATCAATTGTAATTTACAAATGTAACTTATACTTGATATTTACTGGGTAATTTTTGAACTTAGTCATGAGTTCTATGCTTATATATATGTATACAAAGTCAAGGGCATGTTAGGAGACTTATTCATTTTTTATTTCTCAATAAAATAAAATAAAATTCTTACTTTACAACTACAACGACTGACTTCAAAATTTTAGCGAGTTCTGTTCTTAGATGGTATTTTGAAGGACAACACTGTACGAAATCAATTGATTTGATAATTTGTCATACATTTCTTACGAAAACCAGGCACACAAAATGGTTTTGTGAATGTTGAGAGCGTTTGATTTCACTGTATCTTTACAGCCAAGTTTATTGCTGCTCTCCATTTACCGAATAAAATGTCTCACAGTGTTATCTATTTTAACCAAGTTAGTCATTCTCTTGGGTCCATCTTCGCGTTTCTTTTCGTTCGTTATCACTGTCTGTTTGTGTTAAATTACTGAAGGCAACTAATAACTTTGTGGTGATAGGTTGCAACGATTTGAAATTGAAAATCTGGTGTGTTGCTTTTGTGAAATGCAAATTTTCGCCTCGTCTAATTAGGCTATTATCTGATGTTGTTTCGGAACCCAACTTAATATTGGTGTATTTCACTTTTAGTGTTACGAAAATATCAATAACGCATCTCTGTCATATTCTCTGTTTGCGTATGTTTACGATGTTTCCTTCAGTGTTATTCATGAACAAGCTGGCTACAATAGATGACTTAAGTAAACTCACCACTTATCAACTCACCTCTTAACATAATTTCGCCCTAAGCATAAATTCATTGCTTTCTTCGAGAACTTTCATGGCTTGAGGAACCTGAATGGTAATTACTACATATCTTTCTGATGAGTTATGTCTAGTTAACTATAAATGAGGTTAAGGTTGTTTTATAGGAATTTTATTTCGAAATTTTTCAAAAACTCAGTGTGTATTAAGTCTTAGGCTTTCTATAGGATTCAAATCGAAAGGAATTCTTAACTTCATACAGTATGTAATTTCGAAGTATTTTTTATTATTATGAATTAGTATCTGGAAAATTACTTGTAGTTGAGGTTTTAAATTCAGTACTGTTATTATTATTATTATAAAGAAAGACTGCGTATACGCATGCTAACGTTGAACTCTTTGAGGACATGAGACTATGGCTTATATCTGAGGAATCCTCCTATAGTAGGTTGTAGCGCTTTTATTGGACAAATTCAATTCATTGGATTAGTGATCGAAGAATACTGTGGTTTTTTAATCATCTTTGTCCATAATAGCTATGACATTTATTTTCCTATAGTTTATTAATTAAGCACTTTTGCCTTCTTAACAAGCCTTTAGGAATTTCATACTCTTGTTATGAAGAAGCAAGATAGCATGGCCTTTTGTGTCATTGGAATACTAGATATTTTCTGTGTTTTGTGCTTCTTTCTTAACACGTAATTTGAGAGCTGATTCGATGATAAGTCATACTTCTTCAATCACTAGAAGCTTTTGCGTAACAAAAGATTCAAAAGTTTGTCGGTCATGAGACTTCAGTCCCAGTTAGTATCTCGTCTGAACCGCCACCATTTCAGATTAATCATATCTCTGGTTGAGTTGTTTGATAAATGTTTATTTTCATTCATTTCCGAACTTGATTTCTCTGTTTTCTTTAAAAATATGATTACTTTTACATGGGTTCTGAAGTAGTTTGAGTGAATCAGGTTTAGTTGGTTTCTGAGGACACCAACTAAAATCTTATATTTCACACTCTATAAAAGAAAAGCCTGATGTAATTTTCCTGGTGTAGAACAGTATAAATGCAATAAAAAAATATGCTTACCACAAGACATGCGAAACAGCTGACTATTTTTACAGTTCATGAGATAGGTAAATTACGACTTAACTGCAGAAAGATGTTTAAAGTCTTGTTCTGCAAACTTTGGGAACTATTAAGATTCTTATGAGGGAATTGATTTTTGGAAATGGAATGTACACAATCTCCTTTTATGCAATAAAAACAATATTTAGCATCACAAGAAACATAAATTCCACTTATGTTATGGATCATTCCAAATCTGTAATAAAATTCTCCCTCATTCTTTTCATTTTAATATTTAATTTCACTTCATCTAGACACTAAAAACTGAAAATATGAAAAAAAACAAAGTCCTAATCAATATTAAATATAGTTGATTATGAATACAAACATCACATTAGGTTCACTGACAGACTTATCGGATAACAGCCAACTGTTGATTTAATCCTGACGATTGTTTAATTTATCGCAATACTTTAAATAGCGTCCATTCCTTTTTCATTTTACATTAATAGAAGACAAAAGGGTGGTAAGTCCCATAAATTTCGAAAATATCAACATTAAATTAACTTTTTGTATTATGCCTTTATTCCTTGATGTTGTACTAACTTTATCTTTACTGAAGCGTTTTTTGGACCTGTTTTAAAAACTTAAACATAAAAATTCATTGTCTGTTTTTACATGACTGGTTAGCTCTTTCAGATATTTGTTGTTTCTACACTAAACAACTTGTTGATATGTATGAAAGAATAGAAGCTGAATAATTCTAGCACTCAATAAGCAGGCAAGGGATATCCTGCATGTCAAACGCTTCAAGCAGTGTGTTTAGATTTTCCATGAAGATTACTTGAGTGCTTTCACACTGATAAACGCATATGTATATACACCAAATTTCATGTTAATTGTTAATTTTAAAGCAGAATTAAATTTTCTAATTAAGACTTGTATTGGAAGACTGAAATATGAAAACAAATGTTTTTTGAAAAACTTCATTAGGTCCTACATTCACACATTCAGTTTGGTTGGCACCCGAAAAGATAATGTAAAACGACTTTTTAATTCCACCCTTATGGACTGTTGGGATCAGTTATTCCTTGAACTCAAAATGTTTTAATAAATAGTTTTGAATGTAATTTGGCCTACAGTAATAGTCTTTCAGGATATCAGTTAGTTTTGAGAAAAATACCAATGATTGTTAACAAATATCTACTTTTAACTGACTGTAAAAAACGTTCCATAATAACCAAGGGAATAGACTAATTTTGACTATTGCCGAATTAATATTTTCAGGTGGAACTTGCGATGGAAAAGGTCAGTTAAAGTTAATTTGTCATATTCGCTTCAATTTTCAACTTTCACATATCAGCCTTCTTTGATGATATTTCTTAACAAACTTGATTTCGTGATGATAGATAATGCAATATGTTTTCGGTAAATGCCTTTCAAGAGACTTCTAGAAATATGGCGTTCTACAGTCAATACCCTAAATCGCCAAGATAATATATAAAAACTTTATAAAGGGCTTAAACTAAAAGTTTAGTTTTATTTATTGTGAAATTAGCTCCCAAGGTGTTTTGTCGGAAGATAGTGAAAGTTTTGCAGTTAAATGACCCACTTTAGAGGATGCAAACAAAATGAAAACAAGATGTGTGCAATTTTTCTGAAAATGCGTTTCGCTAAGCAGAAAGAGAAGACAGTAGAGCTTTTCCTACTGTTGACGATAAGGTTTTGATCATTTCAGGGATGTATACGTATTTACTATTGATCAGTATAAAGAAAATTGATGAGGTAAATTCCCCATAGTTGAATTCTGACTAAGATGCTCTGGTATGATTTAACTGTCAGGAGTACGAATACATAATGTAACACTCATTAGACACTAGACAGTTACCACTGTCATGTTTCTTGTCTTTTGTGTCAATGTTGGCTGCATTTTAGCAGCCAAGTTTGCAATGTGGTCAGCAGTATTTTCAGATTATCTAAAAGTTGTTATTATGTATTGCATGCATTCGTCCTCGTATTGATGGAGGATGAAATGGTGTCAAATGTAAAAGATCATCATAATGACTACTGCACCAAATAGAAAGTATGTGGCTGAGTACGCTACATGTTTCTGTCATAAATAAATATTTTGTTACTCGTCATATTAAATGATGTGTTAAGTTATCTGGGCGTTGGGCAGTTTTCTTTCCTAGAACACTCAGCGAATAACCTACACACTACATAGTTTAAAATAATTAGGAATACCAAGCTTTGAATGTCAGTGCTAACCAATAAATCTAAACATATCTTCAAAACAAAATGTCAGTTGCAATTTTAGCAGCTAAATATGCTGAAATTCCTCAGTACTTCCCTTCATATATTCAATTTTAACTAGTTCAAGTGACAGTTTCATTTGGTGAAGAACACTCAGATTATTGTTATTCCGATTAATAAACTCAATTAGGGATACCAAAGGTTTTTCATAAGTATACAAATTTTATAAAACAATCTTTGACTTACAGGTTTTGGTAAGTATATATCTAACTGGGGGTACTAAAATCTTCAAATACCTGATACATTTAACTGATTCGAAGAAAGCAAGAACGCGGATAAGTGTGACATAAAAACATCTGATTTCACTTTAATATTGTTTGAAATAGAAGAGTAGATTTGATTCTGGGCACACCAATAATTAGTATTGAAATGATCAGAAAGTATACGTATGCATGTATGATAAGAAGCTGTGAAGTAGAGAAGAACATTTTAAGTTGGGGTAAATGGAGCGAATACGTTATACCGTTGGCAAGTAAATCGGTAAATTGAGAAAGGCGTTCAGTAAAGTGTTCAACACAGTTGCTGGAGACAATGTGAAGACAATTTCAGTATAAGCAAACTTCAGGTTATCTCTCTCAATAAGTTAGCTAAGTAGTATTTGTGAATGTCTCCATATACTCTGTTACTTGAAACGTATATAAATCTATACATATGTATGCTCAAGTCTGATTAAATAGAAACAGATTTCGTTCCAATTATTTTCAAATGTTTCAGTTATGATAGAGAAGATTTGTAGCTCAGGTGGATGATTTTGAGGTGGTTTTGTTCTCTGAGCTGGATGGTTAGTTTGCGAAGCTTTCATCACCTTACTGGGTGACATCTTCAGCGCATTCTTCAATTTGAAGATGTCACCCAGTAAGGTGATGAAAGCTTCGCAAACTAACCATCCAGCTCAGAGAACAAAACCACCTCAAAATGTTTCAGTGAATAGAAATGTCATTTTTTGGATAGAGCAAAAGTGAAACATGGCATATCTATTGAAAGTTTTATCTATTTGTATTCCACCGCTTCTGACTTTACACCTTGACTGATGCTTGAAAGCTTAATCTCAGTATCTCAGTTGATATGATATGGTAGTTTCAACTCACTGTTTTCCAAGATATCTTCGTCATTTGACTCAATAAAATATACACCAGTTAAATGAAAAAAAGACAATGATTAAATCATTGATTCACCTAGAATTAGAAGGTGTAAATGTGTAATAGTGGTATGCGACAATTGTCTGATTACCATATACTGAATATAGTATTATCTGTATATATGCTAAAATATTAATCAGAGTGATTATTTTATTGCAAAATATCATAAACAAATCAGTTTAGGTGCTTTTACACAACAGGATATTTACTAATTATAATGATATTTTGTAAATACAAAAGGTGAATTCTTAGAAAGACTGGGTAAGCCGGTTTTAAGGAATGCATATACTAGAAAATTACTTTTCACTTGATATTATTTGCATAGGAGATTATTTGTTAAAATGATCTATGTTTAATGGAAGTAGGGAGAAATACATTCATCTGTAATCCACTGTTTACATGACAGGTCAATGTAAATTTCCAAACACATCATCTTCAACCAGAAAATTTCTTTGAGATTTGAATTTCCACATGAGTAGGCATTAGGTGTTAAGTTTTCCTAGAGCGGTCCTCTTCAAATTGTGGTTACTACACTGAAGAAGAGACTTGGGGTGTCGCACAAAATCTAAAACTAATAAGTGAAAACCAACAGGCTGGTAGAAGAGGCAGCAGAGACAGGACTTCAAGTGAAAATATAGAAGAAGTAAGTGACGAAGATGAACAATCCAATACTACAAGCACCAGTCACTATCAACGGATTAAATTTGAAAGAGGTCACCTTATTCATTTATCTAGGAAGCATCCTTTCAAATACAAACGGACAATACAGATGTGGATCTCGGAACAAGAAGTGGAAAGGCAGGGCAGACTTTCATCATTCTGAAATCTCCTAAGCTCAGCATGAGGAATAAAACTTCGATTTTCAGCACTAATGTCAAGTTGGTCAATGCTGATATATTAGTCAGAGACTTGATGCTCGCGTCGTGAAAAGCCTTCCTAGTAGGTTGAAAATTTTTTATCAACAGGCGCCTTCTCCCCCTATGTTGGAGATCGAATAGCGAGAAAGAATAACGAGCAAGTAACTGTGGGGACAAAGAGGACGGTAGAAAATAGAACAAAGTGGAGATGTGTTGTTGAAGCCCTATGTTTTTTTTGATTTACAGCTTGATTCCACACTGTATTTTCGGTACAAGTATGGAATTTTCAGCATGGATATCGGTAGCCCAAATTTTGCAGGCCGACCATAGATATCAGATGTGCGTCGGTGCGGGCTTGAATCCCGGACCATGTGCATGGTCGGCAAGATTCCTAACCACTGTGCCACCGACGTCACTCGGAAGCCCAGGGAAAAATAATAACTAGAAGGTATTTGATGGACGATGGCTAGCAGTGAATTCCAGGATGTGCATAATAAAAACTGTATTCATAGAATTGTACATTAATCAAAAATTACTCATGTATTTTAGATTCATCTATTTAATTCGGCCTCCCTCAAGACAGATTCAAAGCCATTATATTGTATTTGTAGACCGTCATCCCTACTTCCTGGCCACTTTAAAATGACACATCTTATTAATCTTAACTTTAATTACAAGGTACACTTATCACTAGTCTCAGTGAGTTTATGGGACATGTTATAACATTAATTTAATTATTTAAACACTGTCCTCATTTGAATTAGTGGTAATGTTTTTGTCTGGAGACTCTATGGCTTTTTCACATGTATTAGGCAAACTGAATCAAAAATCAACTATAATTTTAACACACTAACTTGAAATTAGTTTATTGTCTAGTGAAACAATGTAAACCTGTTCTCTGAAAACACAATTCATATAAAATGTAGTCTAGAAAATTGGTTAGACAAGGTAATGATGAAGGTGTAATTTAAAATATGATACTGTCAATAAAAGCGTATGATACGATGAGTAGAATGAAAACCTTACCGATGAGGAGTAAAACTAAATGTGTAACTTATTTAAAAATGTTGAAATTTTAGTCTTTAAGTTAAAAAATTAGGTGCTACCTCAAAATAATGAAAAACATTATTTTTTGTTAAGTCCTGTCTACTCTTAGCGAAATACCTCGAATTGTTAACAATGGCTCGCCTGTATGCACAAACACAAATGCATGCTGCAATTCACAAAAAACAACAGCAAACTGCCAATTTGTCCGTAAGATGTATGACCTTAGTTTTCGAATAAATATTCAGTCAATTTTACTTTCATGGGAATATCACAATATAACAATATGTACTTTCTTTATGTGCTATCAAAGAAACCATTGACGGAAGAAACTTATAAGTCATAACACTGATTTAATTCACTTGATAAAATGGAATAAGATTGTGCATATAAACCGTGCGATTAGTCATAAAAGTAATAACAATAATATTTAATTGGTGGATGGTGACTAAATGCCCAGACATCGTCGAAGCATCTGCACAAGAAGCCGACATGTCAACCTGAGACCGAGCGATTCGGTCCAATCAATCGACGGGAAAATCAAAAAAATTCAATTCAGTAATAACAATAATGCTAAAAATAATGAGGAAATGATGGCAAGTGATAACAAGATTAATGAAAAACAACATGAATAAACAAATCAATGTTCAGGTAGGTGAAGTTGGTTAAGGTTAAATAAAACAGATGTCCTACCTGAACATATTTTGTTCAATCATGCTGTTTTCCACTACTCTTGTTAGAACCATTATTATTATAAGGATTATTATTGTTACTATAATGGCTAAATGTACAATTTGTTTGCACAATCTTCACATTCTATTGACAAGACACAACGATTGGTTTGTAATTTAATATTGATTTGTCAGGTTCTTTATATTAGAGTTAAGCCTGATGAGATCTAGTTGGAAAAATAATGTTCGCTTAAATTCATTATTCTAAATTTTTTTACAAAAGTATTTGATTATTTAGATGGAATAACTCCATAAAGTCAGCCCTCAGCTTCATTCTACACTATAGAGTTTTCTTTAGCGTGTACAACTTGAGTGAAAAACGCATAAGGAATCAGTGTGAAAGCTTTTCTAATTTACTTTAAGTAAATAGCCTGTTCACTAAAGATGTGCCATTTAAGGTAAAAGGAGAATACAGTACCTACATCTTACAGGATATCGAATGACTAACAAGTTAAAGAAATCCTCATACTGCAAGGACAGGAATATTGTTAAATTCAAAGGTGACGTCACATGTAATTGGAAATGGTTTCGTAATTATTGAGGCATGGTCCAACGCTAATTAAAGTTTTGGTGATAAAACACTAAGTTGGGTGATAGAAGTAAAACCGTGGAATTAAGTGAAATTCTATTGCAGGAAGAAGAAGAAACTGTTAAGATTGTAATAAGTTAGTGACAGCCTTGTACTTCAAAAAGTACTCACTTTTGCTATTCGAAGCAATAATGAATTGATTTACTGGTTCATCGTCATATAAACGATTTAGGTTTGACGATCTGATGTCCAGTGTCTACAAGGTGATAGCTACGATACTGTTAAACGAAGTCAAACCTGTGAAATGATGACTTTCTAGCTTATTTTCACTTGATCAGAAATACACTCGCTTATTAGCTTCTTATGAACTTGACTGGGCAGGCACGAGTGAATTCATGTGCACACTTAAGGTATACGAGATAAAGGATTTAGAAGTCTTTAAGCAGACAGACTGTTCCACTCAAGTAAAACTTTCATATCTTAGTTCCAGCAATGTACTTTATTTTCCTGTGACTATCCCTAGACTGCATCTCCAGGAACGTTTCCCAGTATCAACTGTTAATTAAAATTTTCTTTATGACCATGAGTTATACTTCGAGTATTTCTTCAGAGCAAAGCTTTTCTAACATGTGATATCACATGGCTGCTAAACCTGGCTTGACTTTTAGAATCTGGCCAATGTAAGTTACATAACTGTGAATGGTTCTTTCCAGTATGCTGTCTAGTAATTTTTTCATGCATAAGACAAGATGGAATAAAATTGATAATACGCTACATCCATAAAAGCATAAATGATTTTAAAATTTGATATTTCGGTGAGGATTGTTGAGCATATGTAGTAATATGTCGCCCAACGGAACACCATCTCTTACAACAAATATGTCGTTAACATACTTTGAACAAAACGCACCTTTGTTAGTTGCTGACGTATCTTTGGTGTTCAATGTATGTAAGAAATAATATCAAAGTGATTACCTAAATACTTCATTACTCAGATTGTACATAGTTGAGAGACACTCTGTGAAGAAAATTGAATTTATCTTATCCTGCGGAAACTGTTCTTATCGCTTTACTTAACTATGAATGCATTTTTCCTAATGGTCATCTGTACTAATTACGTTTACACATCGTGTTAGGGATGAATTCCTGATGTTTCCACTCATAAATGCTGTCAAGCATACAACAATCTATTGATAGAAGATATGATCTTCCTTATTTATTCCAAAAATTTACTCATTCTTATCTCTTAATTTAATTTCAATACTCCGACGGAAAAATGTAGCACTTAACTTAATCAAACTTTGAAATTAACATTTTTATCTTATAGAGGCTTATTGAAGTGTTCCATCAGGTAAGTGAATCTGAGTGATTCATCTGTTTCCGTCTTTATATGAATATATGACAATTCTTCTGTCCAGTCAGTCAGTGTACTTATTAGTGCAGGATAAATTCAGAGTTTTCAAGAAGGACGGCCCTTCGTCAACTTGTAAAGTGTTCCTCAATCGAGCCTATGGCGCATACAAGAGGATGTAATTTCATAAATACTGAGATTTCATTTAAATTGGCTGTTGTATTGGTTTGTTCAACTAGCGTGTAGAGATGCTGAAGTGGTCGGTGCATATGAAATTTACAGAAATACTGTCTGCATAAATTAAAATCACGTGAATTATGCGGCAAAAGCGTTCCGCTGAATTGTTTTCAAAGTTGGTATCATGCCTACTATAAAGCCTCAGTTAGTAATTAATAGAGATTCTTCCATTGAATAATAAAAATGTAGTGAATAAGCAGATAACGGTTTTAGAAATTCATATTCTTCTGTGACTATGGACTTATCTATGGGGCTGGCTAAACTGTTTGGTAATTTGTAAAGGCACACATGACAGCCGCCTTCAAGGCGATTCCCTTCTAAAATTTTGGTTAGTTCTGAATAAGTAGAATAAGTGGTTAAGAATAACCATAAAATGTATTCATTCACATTTGAGGAAGATTCGTTCAGTGAGTTCCAACTGAAGGATACCATCCCACCTGCAGATGTCTTGTGAGAAACATTTTTTTACTATGATTGTCTCTAATTTTAAAATTTGCCTAACC